TGAATGAATTTAAAAAATATCGATGTAAGATGAGTAGTCTTGATAAAGCTAAAAGAGGATTATAGTTTATAAATATTTGGCTTAATTAACAGATGGATGCTTCAGATATCAAGATGGCACCAAACCGCAGTGCTGTGATTTGTTGAGAGAGACATAACATTATATTGAAAATTTAAGGATTTGGAATTGGGGTACCTTCATTTGAATTCAAGCACTGCCTCTTTCTTGCTATATAATCTTGGATAAATTACTTAACATATCCTAATCTCAATTTCTTCAGTTATAAAATGGAAAATGGTATTAATAATAATTCTTACCTAACATGACAGTCAAAGGGTAGAAAAAAGTAAAAAAATAGTACTCTATAATATATAAATTTATTCACAGAAACGGTGGGACCTAGGGTGAACCAACGCAACAAGTGATACTCAGTAAACACTATGTTGGAAATGAACTTTACAACTTGGGGGAGAGGGAAATGAAGGGGAGGGAAAGCAGGAGAAAATAAGGGAGGGGGTAACACTGTTTGAAAAGAAATGTACTCATTACCTTTCTTGTGTAACTGTAACACCTCTGCACATCACCATTACAATAAAATATATAAATTTTTATACATTTTTAAAATGAAGACTCCTTTTGAAAATGTAAACTGATCATGATGTGGCACTATATCTATACTTGCTAACATAAAACCTAGCTAGGAATAGTTCATCTTCCACTATGGAAAATTATTTCAAACTAGGTTAAGCTTCCATATATTTCTAATTTCTATTAACATTTAGGCTTCTTTTTTTGTACTAGTATTGGAGCTTGAGCTCAAGGCCCAGGCACCCTCCCTTAGCTTTTTGGCAAAAGGCTGGTACTCTACCACTTGAACCATAGTTCCATTTCTGACTTTTTGGTAGTTAGTCAAAGATAAGTGTCTCTCAAACTTGTCCACTTGAGCTAGTTTGAACTGTGATCATCAGGTCTCAGCCTCCTGAGTAGCTAGGATTTTAGGCATGAGCCACTGGCACCCTGTCATCTAGGTTTCTTAGTATCAAAATAAGAGTTCTTAGCACTCAGGACAGTTGGAAGTAAAAGTCTGTCCAGGAAGACTGAGTTTATAACGAGAGTAGGTCAAACTATATTCAATTTTCAGGTAATCAGCATGATTATAAGGTCTTCCTTGTGTTGGAAATTTTTTGGATTGAGTAAGAACCATTTTTTTCATAATTATGAACTTGCAGTGTTTTGTCTCCCTTCTGCAGGTAGAGAACATGGGCCTGGATAATCTAACTGACTGAACATTTAGAAAGATTTGTTTTGCATGTCTGCTACCCACCTCAATGCTTCTTCATGTCGTTATTCAGCCACATTTACCCCAGGTACCTTTTTATTTGCTGGCCTGGGGCTTGAACTCAGGATCTGGGCACTGTCCCTGAGCCTCTCTGTTCAAATGCTCTACCACTTGAGCCACAATGCTATTTGTGGCTTTTTCTGAGTAGCTAATTGAAGATAAGACGCTCACAGACTTTCCTGCCTGCGCTGACTTTGAACTGTGATCCTTAGATATCAGCCTCCAGAGTAGCTAGGATTACAGGTAGAAGCTACTGGAGCCAGGCTCCAGGTACCTTTTGTAAATGTCACATGACTCTACTCAACATTGCTGCAGATTAGTTACGGCTTGACTCGGAACAGTAACTAAAAACTGCTCTGCTGGCTGGTTTTAGTAACATAAAAATTAGTCAGGGACTGGGAATGTGGCTTAGTGGTAGAGTGCTTGCCTAGCATTCATGAAGCCCTGAGTTCAATTCCTCAGTACCACACACACAAAAAAAAGTAGTGCTATGGCTCATGTGGTGGAATGCTAGCCTTGAGCAAAAACAAGCTCAGGGACAGTGAACAAGCAAAGCGTTAAGCCACAGGACTGGCCAAAAAAAAAGTCAGACCCGACATGTAAGCATAGAAACAGGGGTGGGTAAACTTCAATAAGGGAGCTAAAAAAATAGAATGGAAGAAAGACAGCTTCTTCAATAAATGGTGCTGGCAAAATTGGTTAAACACATGTAGAAAACTAAAGCTAGATCCTTATATATCACCCTGCACCAGAATCAACTCCAAATGTATCAAAGACCTCAAAGTCAAAGCAGACACCCTGAAAACATGACAGGAAGGAATAGGAGAAACTCTTAGGGTTCTTGGCACAGGACAAAATTTTCTTAATAAAGACTCAGAAACAACAAATCAAAGAAAGGTGGGACGAATGGGATTTCATGAAACTGCAGAGCTTCTGCATGGCAAAGAACATAGCTAGCAAGATCAATAGAAAGTCCATGGATTGGGGGAAGATCGTCACTACCCATACAACAGACAGGGTCTCATATCTAAAATATTCTTAGGACTCAAAAAATTAAATGCCCCAACAACAAATCCTCAAAGAAACAACTGCCCAATAAATAAGTGGGCTAAAAACTTAAAGAGAAACTTCTCTGAAGAGGAAATAAGAATGGCCAATAGACACATGAAGAAATGCTCAATTTCTCTGGCCATAAAAGAAATGCAAATCAAAACTACATTGAGATTCCACCTCACCCCAGTTAGAATGGCTATAATCAAGAAATCTAATAACAATAGATGCTGGAGGGGATGTTGCCAAAAGGGAACCCTACTGCATTGTTGGTGGAATTGTAAACTTATTCAACCACTTTGGAAAGCAGTATGGAAGTTCCTCAAAAGACTCCACATAGAGCTCCCCTATGACCCAACAATCTCACTTTTGGGCATTTACCCAAATGATCACAAACAAGGCTATACTAAAGCTACCAGCACAAATATATATATGAAATCTATGCCTCCATCAGAAAGAATGACATCGCTCCATTTGTTGGGAAATAGAAAGAGTTGGAAAAAGTTATGCTAAGTGAAGTGAGCCAGGCCCAAAGAAATATAGGTCCCATGGTTTCCCTTATTTGCAAGAACTAGTATATGTCTAAGACAAGCAGAAAAGGTAAAAAACTATGTACATATGACCATATAAGATGATGTTAAGGGGCTGGGAAGTTGGCTTAGTGGTAGAGTGCTTGCCTTGCATGCACAAGGCCCTGGGTTTGATTCCTCAGTACCATATAAGCAGAAAAAAGCCGGAAGTGGCACTATGGCTCAAGTGGTAGGGTGCTAGCCTTGAGCCGAAGAGCTGAGGAACAGCGCCCGGGCCCAGAATTCAGCCCCCACGACCGACCAAAAAAATTAAATTAAATTTTTAAAAAAGATGATGATGGGGCTGGAGAGGTGGCTGAGTGGTAGAGCGCTTGCCTTGCAATGCATGAGGCCCTGGGTTCGATTCCTCAGCACCACATAAGCAAAAAGAAAAAAAAAGCTGGAAGTGGCGCTGTGGCTCAAGTGGTAGAGCGCTAGCCTTGAGCTGAAGAGCTGAGGGACAGCGCCCAGGCCCAGAGTTCAGGCCCCACGACCGGACCCCCCCAAAAAAAAGATGATGTTAAGCAAAATGAACCCCGAGATCGGGACACAAGTGGTTTTTTCTTTCTTGCTATTGTTTTTTAACGTATTTTTAATGTACTATGTGAGGTTTTTTTTGTTGTTGTTGTTGTTTCTTTGGTATGTTTCTCCCCCATGTTATAACCCCTGTTTTCACTGTAATTGATTCTGGTGCCTTCAATCTTGTATATACATTTTTCTAATTTGGGGAGGGGAAGGGAAATAACAAAATGTTGAAATAAGGATACAGGTTGACCCATTGTAACAATGAGATGTACAAGACAATATGTTGAAAACAAACTTTACAACTTCGGTGGGGGTTGGGTGTAAGGGGGTGGGAACAGGTAGAGTTGGGGAGGTAGGGAGGGAAGGGATGGCAAGGGAAAAATAAAGGGGAAGGTAATAATGCTGGATAGGAAATGTACTCATTACCTTACTCATGTAACTGTAACTCCTCTGTACAGTATTTTTACAATAAAACACATATAAAAATAAGAAACAGGGGTGAGGGGACAAAGACTATGGTATTAATGGGGATATATGGCATTACCACCTAACTTTTGACTCTCCACAGGAAGTCTCAAGACAAACCAATGGTCTGGTTGGAGAAACTTGGAAATGCAGATTTCTGCTTCCTGATTTTTCCTTTGCTCCTACTACATTTATGTGTAGGCTTGCCACTGCATACTTGTTACTTCTCAGCACATTTAAACTATTCTTTTTATTTTTATTTTGTGGTAGTACTGGGATTTGAATTCAGGGCTTCATATTCTTGCTTGCTTTTTTGTTCAAGGCTATTACATAAGCCACAGCCTAACTTCAGGCTTCTTGGTGGTTAATTGGAAATAAAGAGACTCACAGACTTTCCTGCCTGAGATGGCTTTAAAGCACAATCCTCAGATCTCAGCCTCCTGAGTAGGTAGGCTTGTAGACATGAGCCACTGGTGCCCAGTCCTAACATATTCTGAAAGGTAATACATATAAGGATTTAAAGAAAACTTAACCATGGACTGGGAATGTGGCTTAATGGCAGAATGTTTGCCAAGCATGCATGAAGCCCTGGATTCCAGATAAGCAGAAAAAGCAGGAAATAGTACTGTGGCTCAAGTGGTAGAGTGGTAGCCTTGAGCAAAAGAAGCTCAGAGACAGTGCCCAGGCCCTAAGTTCAAGCCCCAGGACTGGCAAAAGAAAAGAAAAAAAAGTTAACCCATAGGAATGAATGATTGAACTAAATCTGGTGAGATTGGTTACAGATAAGCCCATGTTTATATTTTCTGATTTATCTGACTAGTAATAAATCATGATATCACAAAACTTGTAAGACACCTCGCAAGCTGTCAACTAATGCTACCTTAGCTACTGGCATTTGCTAAACAAATCCAGCCAGACTTTCCCTCCTCCATAAATAAAAGCATCTACAAAGCTAGCATGCTGTGCACATGATCTACTCACATTACATTAGTTATATTAACATGGATCTGGTCTGCTGAACAGAGAAAAGACTTTCTTCTGAGCCTACTCACCTCGATTGTCATCTTCATTGTCTTCCCAGGGTTCTTCATTTGCTAGCAGTGGGTTCTGAGATTCATTCATAGACCTCATAGGGAAGGAGTGTCCATCACCAGGGCTGGTGGGAAAGGAGAGCAAGGAGATTTTTTCAGCTGATATTGACTTTGTTTTTAAACAAGGTCTCACTACATAGCCAAGGTTGGCCTCAAACTCACAATCCTCCTGTACAGGTATGTGCTACAATGAGTGTTTGACATAGACCTTTAAAAATGGGATATAGTTATGGATTTGGGGCTTTTTGTTTTGGCTGTTCTTATTAGCTAAACCATGGTGAAATAAGCTCTTACATTAGCATCATCTAGTTGCTGTATTGCTCACAATTTCCACATCTTACTTCCCTCTATCAGTATTAATTATTCCCACTACTAAGAAAGTCTTTAACTTGCTTTCCACAATGCACAGTGTAGACATATATGCACACACAAAGGCTTCATATATACCATTTAATTATGATGATCTCATTTTACATCCCACTATTGTATTGCTTTGATCTTAAATTTCCAAGGAGGATGAGTAGACACAGAATTATTTAACACAGAGGAGAAAGGCTGTTGTAATGAATGCTTTAGTGTCCTGCTATTTATTTGGCTTGTATAGTAGAAAAGTTATTAAGAATGGTGGGAAAGAGCCAGAGCCAGGTGTCTCTAGAGTACATATCTGGGGTACAACTATCCACATGTAGGTCTATTTTGTGGCTACTTATGGTAAGCTAGGGTCACCTCCTTGGTTAATTTCTGGCCATCAAGGGACTGTACACATTTAAAAGCATTGTTATGGCCCTGGCTAGGCAGGGTTAGAATTCAAACACTTGAGTGTGTATCTGAATGGATTCCAAATTTAAATCTTACTGACTTTTGGATTATTCATTTGATATTATCTGTGCCTTTTCTCCTGTTCATGAATGTGGTTAATTAAAAGTTTATAGATTTTATTTACAGTACACTTCAGAGAATGTAAGTATACTGATTATAAAGTGAATAGGCTTTGATTTTTCCTTTTGTTTTCTATGCCAGCAAACATTCATTTTAAACCTCCCTTTGATGTGGTGATGGTGTTTGAGTATTTGTATATACTTGTGTGGGAATCGGGTGTGGCTAATTACTGACAACAGTTATTAATCAACATTACTCTATGACATATTTTTGTCTTGTGATTTATACCTGGTGACTTGACTATATCACATGTTGAACAAATAAACCTATAAATTACTAAGCAAAGGAAGTATTAGGGCAATAAGTGAAGGGGAGGAGAGAAATTTCTGTAATTGCCACCTGATCCCAGCATAGTTTCCTCAAAAAAATGAATGCAAATGCCTTGTCTGAGAAGCACGTTTAAGGGGGATACAAAAGCCTTGTGAATGAGCTCTGCTCCAGAACAAGTTCAGTTGCTGGTGGCTAAGCCAGCTTACAAAAACACTCAGAGGACACAAGAATAGCTCTACTTGTTTCTCAATCACTGGTTTCCTTACATTCTTGTTGCCATCTGAAAAATACCGACAATCTTGAAACCAATCTGCTTATTCTTTCCTTCTGATTGAACATTTTCCTTCATCAAAAATATTAATATGTCAGCCTGAATATGAAAATGGAGAAAAGAACAACATGTTTTCCAAACGATTGCTCTAATGATTCTGTATTTTTAGTCCATTTCTCCTCTGAGGTTTTTCTTTTATATTTCATGTTACATGCCATTTGGTATTTTATATCTTTTTTTTGTCCCTGTAACTGGGGTTTGAACTCAGGGCCTATGCACTGTCTCTTAGTTGTTTTTGCTTGAAGCTAGTACTCTACCACTTGAGCTACAGCCCCACTTCCAGCTTTTTTGGTAGCTAATTTTGGAGATAAGAGTCTCAGGGGACTTTCCTGCCCCAGCTGGCTTCAAACTGTGATCCTCAATCTCAGCCTTCAGAGTAGCTAGGATTACACGCGTAAGCCACTGGTGCCTAGCATGGGGATTTTACATTTTTCACTTAAAATATAGTACACATTTTCTCTTATTCCAACATACTCTTTATAACCATTAGTTGAGACTGTATAATAGTTTATCTAGTGGATATATATATATATATACAAATAAATATGTTAATAAGTATATAACAAGTAAATAAATATTCACAAGTTATTAGATATTTAGGTTATTTTAAAATTATTGCTTATAAATAATCATGTGATCAGCATTTTAAAAACTTGCTTCATTAGTATTATTGCTATTGATATTTTTGAAAAAGACTATGTAGGGCTGGGAAGGTAGCTCAGTGGTAGAGCACTTGCGTTGCATGCATGAGGCCCTGGGTTCAATTCCTCAGCACCACATAAGCAAAAAGAAAAAAGCCGGAAGTGGCGCTGTGGCTCAAGTGATAGAGTGCTAGCCTTGAGCTGAAGAGCTGAGGGACAGTGCACAGGCCCAGAGTTCAGGCCCCATGACTGGACCCCCCGCCAAAAAAAAAGAAAAAAAGAAAAGAAAAAGACTATGTAGCCTAAGCTACTCTGAAACTTGTTAAGTAGCTCAGGCTGGCCTCAAACTCATGACCAACCTGCCTTAGCCTCGAGTGTTGGAACTAAAGGTTGTGTGCCACTATGCATACTCTGTGATGAACATTTTTGTGCAGTTTGACTCTATCTTTAGGGAAAATTAGCAGAAATGTAATCATTGAGACATCAGGCATGTAGATTATGAAGAACATATATAAAAGTTTACCTTGCCTTAAATAAAGTATGGTAATATCTGTCTAATCATACCCATGCCTCATGATCTGTTGTTACAAACCTAGAAATGAAAAACTTAGGGTCTAGAGTATTATACAGTAATATATACTGTATATTGTAATGTAGACTGCATACAGTAATAAAAACTTGAATATGTTGCTTTAAGGCATGGTCTAGAATCAGCCTCTTATAGTGGTAATAATTACCTACCTGGACCCAATAGGTATTAACCATAATTTCTTATTATCTCCAAAAACCTGCTGGATATTCTTGATAAAGCCAAGGTTGAATCCATTTTTCTCTGGGCCACTTGTAAACACTGGAGTGCAGAAGGCCTCTAGAATAGGGTAGTGGAATTGAAGGAAAGAGGAAGAAAAATATTAAAAAATTCTTTATAGTTTTGATTTTATATTTCTCTGTGAATATGACTTGGTTCTATATATTTTTGCTGTGTTTGCAGAGGCCTGTTATTCTTAGTTATTGCGAAAAAATCACCCTCCTCACTTAATAAACACTAAGCTTGTTATCTTGTTATATAATATAAAGAACTGGTACTTGGAATTTTAAAACGGCGGGGGAAACACATGATGGTAGAAATAATTAAGCAGCCATAGGGGTAGAATGTATTCATGCTGCTGGATTTAAGGAATGAAGGAACAGATTTAACAGCACTTTATTTGAATCAAAGTGGTGACAACAGCCAAATGGTCCCCATCTGTAGAGCTGGGACCAAAGTAATGACACATAAAGAGATGGTAATGACATTGATTTGGTTTTGAAGCATTGCAGAAATGAAGATGTTCCCACTGAAGTCCGCAATGTAAGAAACCAAGCTTTTCTCCAGATAAAATGTCAATGGGTGGAATATAATCACCTCAAACACTATAAGGAAGTGGACCATATTAGTGCATATTATTTTTAGACACACATTTATCTCATTAAGCAAACACTTCCACTGTTGAGCTCTGGCTGAATCTGTCCATTCCCATTGGTCCTTTGTTTTCAGACCCTGTTATCATGAATCTTTTAGTACTTGTCTACTTTGTAGCTGATCTCTTAGCCAAACGTCCTCATTTACCATCCTAACAGCTAAGTGCTACATTTATATTTGATTTTGAAAATGGGTGCAAATACTTACTTTGCTATTAGTATTATTAACCAGTAAATTTCCCCAATGCAATGGCTTTTGCACTAAACTTTCCCCAAATCTCTCCTACTTGCACATTCAAATTTGAACCCTTTTTCCTCCTTCCTGTGTATAAATCATGTAAAGATTTGTTTGACCATAGATGAAAAACATTACTGTACTAGAATCCTTAATAATATAGTTTTCCATAGAATAATAGGCCTAAGCTGGGTGCCAGTGGTTCACACCTATAATCCTAGCTACTCAGGAGGCTTAGATCTAAGGATTGTGGTTCCAAGAAAAATCCCCAGGAGACATCTCCAACTAACCAATCAAAAAACCAGAAGTGGAACTGTCCCTGAGCTCTTTTGTTCAAGGCTAGTGTTCTACCACTTTGAGCCACAGCTCCACTTCCAGTTTTCAATATTTTGGTCCTGACATAGCTCCTTCATTACTGTAGATAGTGAACGATTGGATTCTTTTTCAAAGATATTTCATTCAGGTTATTAGTTTGGATACTTTCTCAGGACAGTTAGAACATGCTTGATTAATTAGATTCTTTCTTCTTTTTCTGGTCTTCATCCCTTTTTTCTGATGTTCCCTCCTCTAGTGATTCTTTCATTTCTACTATTTCTGATGCTGGAGTTTGAACTCAGGGCCTCACACCTACTAGGCAACTGCTCTATAGTGATAGAGTCACACTTCCTAGCAAAAGTGATTATTTAGTGATTGATAGTGAGGTTTGAACTCTGATCCTTGTGCTTGCTGAACAGCTGCTCTCACGACTGAGATATGCACCAGCCTTTCATTTCTTTACAGTAACAGCTTTGGAAATTTCCATAGTTGTGAATGTGAATAGCTATTACCCAATATGCGCTATAAAGAGCTGTGAAAATCTTGGTTTTATACAAGAAATTTCATTCAAGAATGCTGTCTTTAGTCAGTAAATCTCATGTATTATGGTTCTCCAGTTTTGTAAGTATATATTCATTTTTCTCAGTTTGGAGGCAAAGGGATGTCACTATAGTGAAAATGCCTCATTGTAAGCTTTTCTCATCCTTTGGAACAGTCTATAGGTCACTCTGATACACATTAATATGTTTTTTCCTAGTCATAATATTCAGTCTTACCTAAGGTAGTTTTGTTTCTGCTGACAAGCCAACAATGGTAACCAAAGAGAATCACAAGGCTGACAAAAAACATGCAGGCCACAAAGAGGAGAAAAAGGACATGGAACTTAGAGCGAAGGCTGGGCAATTCCCCCTAGAAAAGAAAGAACAAAATGAAAAATTAAAGTGAGAAAGTTTATGTTTTTTTTTTGTTGTTATTGTTGCTGTTTACAGAGGGTGGCAGCCCTTTATTTAAAAAAACAAAAAACAGACAAACCCTCCTCAGGAGATAACCAAGCTAAATCACTCAAAGCAATAATCTGGAGACAGCCTTGAGGAATACTGGTAGATGAATACTATTACTATGTTTCTAAAGTAATTCATAGCCACTGTGAGGAGATCCATGACCCAGTGTGGGAGGTGTGTATTACTATTTTTGTATAAGATAAAGATTAATCTACTGACGTAGCTATTGTTTAAGTTAATATTGAGAGGGCCAAAATAATATAATGATCTGAATTCTTTCTTCCAAAAGAACTAGAACTTTGCCAGAGCTGAATCATAATGGGCAATAAGACGTTGGGAGAGTTTGTAAGATCATTGGGTTTAGGGTCAAGCTTATGTTCAAATTCCCAAATTAAAATGTATAAGCTAGGTTGTCAGGGGTAAGTCACTTAGCTACTTTGAGCCTCTCAATAATTTAATCTTTGAAAAGGATTCTTACTAGGCCGGGTGCCGGTGGCTCACGCCTGTAATCCTAGCTACTCAGGAGACTGAGATCTGAGAATCCCAGTTCAAAGCCAGCCCGGGCAGGAAAAGTCTGTGAGACTCTTATCGCCAATAAACCACTAGAATACCAGAAGTGGCGCTGTGGTTCAAGCGGTAGAGCACTCGCCTTGAGCTGAAGAGCTGAGGGACAGCGCCCAAGCCCAGAGTTCAAGCCCTATGACCCACAAAAAAAAAGAAAAAGAAAAAAAGAAAAGGATTCTTGCTTTGCCCACTTCACAGGGTAGTGGTGAGATCGGATGAAATAATGAATCTGAAAGTACCATACAACACTGTCTGTACTATACACTAGGGGTTATGTTCTCAGAAGCACAGCTTACCTCTTCCATACATAGCTTTTTAAATACATGGCAGTGTTTACTTGTTATTTTAAGGAGAAACTCCATTTACATGGAGAAAGCCATCCCTAAATGACACTAAAGTTCTGTCTGGCTGGGAGAGACTGCCCCGAATGCCCTTTTCATTATGAAGACAACTCAAGACGGGTTTCCTCATTGCCCATATTTCATGCATGAGCTCAGCTATTTTGGAAGAAAAAAAATGAGGGAATAGGAAAAAAGGACAAGGTTATGTTCCCTTGTAGCATGGTTTGTGAATACAGGTACATTTCTGCTGATTCATTCATATTCAACTATCATCTTTCAAGAGTGACTAAAAGCACACAGCACCAGGCTTGCATTGTAGCATTTGATTAGTGGCTGATTATGAGGGCTAAAGGAAAAATGTGTGGAATGCAATGTTGTTGACTTTGTTATGAGGGTAAAAGGTGATTCTTAAACAGTAGCCTACTATGTTAAGAATGAAGAAAGGCATGTAGGTTGACACTTCCTTTGTGATTGGATGTAGCAGATTTTCTTCACATTTAGAGCAGTAGCTTCACTTATGGATAGAATGCCAAACAAGTCATGGAAACAGGAGCAATAGATAATAGATCTTGGGCTGTGGAAGGGGCCAAAGAAGAGATGATATGATGTGTAACCATGTGGAATGTTTCCTATGTGAAGAAAATGAGAAAACTTTGTCATTTGTCTTTATAGTTTCTTTTTGTCTCTGAATTTAAGATTTTGATATCTACTATATAAGTTCTAATTCTTAAACTTAGTAAATATCTAAATTAAGAAATAGAAATGTTTACACGATTTGGAATAAAAGGCTTAATTTACAATTTAAATATTCTCAGCTATTTTGTTTCTCACTGCTTTCTCTCTTCTAGTTTTCTCCAGTTTTGTAATTTATATCCAGACCACAGGACTCATATTTTTTTCCTACTGCTCTACCTTTTCAACTAAGTGAGATATTCCCGTTATACAGGCTCTTGTTTAATATATAAAGTACTAGCTAATAGCTCTGCCCACATTTGTCTTTTGGTAGATTCAGTTTGGACAGCCCTCAGCATGGATATGTTAGGAATTGTATTGGAGTTGTTGGGAAGAGATCTTCTCAAGTCCATTGACACCAAATTTAAAAAGAGCATATTTTATTTCTGCTCGACCCTATACATAGGCATGAATGGAAAATCTGTCTTAATTTTTTGGAAACAGATAAGAGATGACTGATATCACCCAAGGCAGAGAAAGGTGGCAACAAATTGTTTGAGATGTCATTAAAATGATTAGAATCACATTTTAAAAGGTAAAGCACCTCAACATCTGCTCCATTGGATCTTGGCAATGAGGAAAATGAAACAAATAACAGAGCCAGTGTTACATACCCTGGTTCTCTCAACTCTCAACCCGTTGTTTGCCATACATAGTTTCATTTCCTTTTGGCCCTATGTGAAAATGAGTCAGTGCATCTTTCTATCCAATAGAAAATCTGTAACTCTCCTCTGAATTTTCTAACTGGGAAGTGCTTTGTTAGCCACTTTTTCTTAGAAAATAGTAATGTAGAGTTCATGTCAACATTTTTTCAAATATGTAACTAGTAATAAATGGACTAATAAAAACCTCAACTACAAAAGTACCTTTTAAAGAGTCAATACATTAGGTTCTTGGCAAGACTGTCATGATAACAGAAACATTTAACTAGAACGTTTAAACAGAAGTTTCTAAAGTCTCAGAGTATTCATGGAAAACTTATTTTCCATTGGGTGGCTTTTCACTGTTAGCTATTACATTTCAAAATGTGAAGAGGCTATCAGGTCAATAGCATTACATATTGCCATCTAGGGGAGGACCCTTCAGGATTAAAAAACAACAACTTACTCTCCAGTATTTGATGAAATAGCTGAAGACTGTCGTAGCAATGTACAGGCAGTAGAGAACAGAATAAGCTAAGAACTGAAGGAAGAATTTGTAGTTGGAAAATCCAATGCAGTTATTAACCCTAAAAAAAAAAGAAAAAGAAAAACAAATTTGAAATCAGAAGGTACTGATTAAGAACAATCGGATACATAGTAGACCATGCAATGGAAGCACAGTACTCCTGCTATTTCATTCTGTGTCACGTAGAAACCCAACAAAGATAGAAGTCCTTTAATAGGAACAGACTGGAAGAACAAGTTTATATCTCACTTGTTTTTCCTTTCATTTATAAGCACAAACTGGTCCCTGGCACACCCAAGAAACCTTAGCTCTGAGTTGTTAAAAACTTACAACTAAACTTTCTATAGTTGTAGCATGTTCTCTTTGGATTGGTTGATTTTTGCACTAGGTCCCAAGGTCTGATACATAAAAATTGTAGAATTGCTGAATTTAGCAATGGAGAATATTTCAGAATCAAGCCAGCCAGAAACAAAATTGAATTGTGTAATGTCGAACAGAAGAAATACTTATGCTGGATATCATTACCATGCTCAATTGCTAAAGCTAATGGACAGGAAACCATTAGTTTTGTGACCTCAGGAATTCACTAGCATACCTTGAGTGGTCTATTTGTTCTGGCTTTAAAATGTTACCCCTCCCCTGTCCCCCACACAGATACAAAGCCCAGTGAATTATGGTGGCAGAAATAGATGTGTTGCAACTATGCTTAGGAAAGTGGGCCTCTTTAGCAACTTTGACCCTTTTAGAGGAGAGAAATGAATCAAAGGGACATACCAAGGGCAGTGATGGTCCATTTTTAAAACACACCTACAAAGGGGACAAAATACAGGGTGGTAAGTGAGGCTATGGACACAAAGGAACACCTCAAAATTTCACTCAAGGGTTCACCAATATTTTTACATAGTTCCAGTACAGCTTTTCACAGATTTCTATGACAGCAACTCTCAAACTACTGTATCTTTTGTTACCCTTAGGATGAGCCACTCATGATACATTTTAGGGTTCTGCTAGCAGCAAATTATATGCCTGGATGTCCAACCTTTAAGAAGGATAAGGAATTCTAGGGTATTACTGTAGAGAAAAGGTTCAAGGTATCTCCTCTAGTTTTGTTCAGTACTCAGTTTACTAAAAGTTCAGGGAAAAAAGCCATGGTATAGCCTGAGTTTGCATTAAAGGCAGGCAACATATAGCTGGAACTACTACTCAAGAAGAAAAGCTTCTGTGAATATGAGATATATTAATATAAGAAGAATCATTTAAAAAGCGGGAATAGTCAGGTGTTGGTATCTCATAGCTATAATTTTAGATACTTACGAGGCTGAGATCTGAGGGCCATGGTTCAAAGCCAGCCAGGGCAGAAAAGCCCATGAGACTCTAGTCTCCACCAAAAAGCCAGGTGTAGAGGTGTGGCTCAAGAGGTTGAACACCAGCCTTGAGCAAAAAATGCCAAGCAAGAGCTCAGGGCCCTGAGTTCAAGTTCTAGTACTAGCACAAAAAGGAAAAAAATAAAGCTATAACTGGAGTCAGAAAATAAATAAGGTAGTATTGGGTCATAACAAAACAGAAAATGATTATCTATGGCTCTCTATTGCTATAAGTAAATGGATAAATAAATGGGAAAGAAGAGACACACATCTAGCTCAGAAGAATCTCAAACAATTTATGCAGGTATTTCATCTTCAAGGAGAGGGAATATAACTTCCCATTCCTTCAGTGTGAGCTGTGCATAGTGACTTCATTCCAAGGGGTGTAGCATAGAAAGGAAAGGGTGGAATAATTTTACAGTGGAAAAACCTGAGAAGCAATAGCTCAGCCAGATGATCAAGATTATTATTGCAGTGAAAACTCATGTTTATCAATACCGTTGATTTGATTAAATGAGAATGGAAGCTTTATATCTATGGTCTTCCTTTCGTAATCACATTACCCCTGTCTAATGATCATGAGAAATGGTCAAACAAATTTCAATTTAGGAAAATTCTATAAAACACCGTAATCCTTTGTCCTGAAAACTGTCAAGGTCATCCAAAACAAGTAAAACTGAAGAATCTGTCACAGCATAGAGTAACTAAGGAGACTAAATATAATGTATTTGGGCTGGAATCCTAGAACAGATAAAGGACATTGAGGGAAACTGAGGACATTCTGGGGGTTTGTTATTGTTGTTTTGGGGATATTGGAGTTTGAATCCAAGGCTTTGTGCTTGCTAGGCAGGTACTCTCCTACTTTGGCTATGCCCCCTTGGTATATATAAATATAATTTCAGTTGAAAATAATATATCAATATTGGTTTAATTGTTAACAAGCATAAAATAATAATGAAATGTGTTAATAATAGGGAAACATAGGTCTAGGATAGATGAGAACTATCTACACAATAAATCTATATACATAAAACTGTTCTAAAAAAGGTTATTTTTTAAATGTGGTTTTAGTTCTCTTTCTATCTTTAGAATAGCTTGAATCCTCATCATCCCCGTGAAGGTGTTTGGCATATGCTCATTAGGATGGAAAAGAAATGCTCTTATCTAGGCATGGTTACATGTTAGGATCAGTCATTTTGTTGTCTAGGCAACCATCAGTGGCCAAGCTCAGCCTAGGGAAAATATAGCTGTCACTTACATGGCACAGACAGAACAGTGGTGGCAGCGATCTGGCTTGATCAGATGGCACCGGTCACAGAATCGTACAGCTAAAGGAAAAATAAAATGGTTAGTATTTGTTAGGGATCAATGTAAGATCTAACATTTTACTATTCTATCTGGATATCTTGCAATACAATGACTATACCTAGTTGACCTCATATCAAGCTGACAAACAAAAGGCAATCATATAGAATTGTGGTAGGTATTTTTTTCCCTTGTTGGATAAGTCTTGGTGAGGAGGGGATGAAAGTGAGAGGAAAAGTTTCATATTTGGATCACTAACCATAAGATGTCTTTTTAAAAAATAATCTTAATGGTTATTTTTCCTTTTTATTTTTATTAATTTTTTGTGGTACCAAGGAATCGAACCTAGGGCCTCATGCATGCTAGACAAGCACTTTACCACTGAGCCACATTCTCTACCCCAGATGTTGTATTTTTAAAACTACAAGCAATTGCTTGAATGATGTCAGAAAAACCATTTAGTTTATTTTTATTCTAAATTTCCTGTCTGAAAACAAGGAATCATCATTTATCTCCTGCCTCCAGAGGTTAGAATGTACACAGTGAATAAAACTTTTCTGGTAAAGACAGTGGTTCTTAGAATAACAATTTGTAGCGAAGACAAGGTGAGAGGGTGGGATTAGAAATGTCTTCCTTTAGACTCCACAAATGAGGACAGTCACAGTAACAAAAGACAGACTATATTCTGAACAGAGAGAAGCATTGGGAATCATAAGAGAGGTGACAAACAGCTACAAAGCTTGGAGAAACAGAAAGACAGAGAAAGAAGAGTTGCAGCTCCAACCCCAGTTCCCCAAGGGGAAAGGGAAACTGAAGACAGTCAAACAGTAAACCAGATGCTCCTGGCAAGAGAACTGGCAATTCCACTTTGGAGATAAGCCTGCAGTTCCAGTAAATACTAAACTCAGGGTGAGGATTAGGTGTAACAGTTACTGCTCCTACATAGCAAGCTAGCCTAGGAGAATAAAAAGACTTTCACCACTTCCCTTAGCTTGGGAAAACTATAGTACGGCACCATCTCGAGAGGGGACTTTTCTTGCTTGATATTGAGCTTCTCTGGGACATAAAAACAAGAAACAATCATGGATCAGAGTGTCTGCCATGGTAGCTGGCCATGAGAGGTTGTCATGGAGAGGGAGAAAGTCTGACATAGTAGCAGAGACCTTCGGCACTGTGGCTAGTGGCCTCATCTTGCCTGGTAAGGTGTGAGTCCCATCCCCTGAGGACACAGCATCAATCCCAGGGCTACAGGAGTGCTCAGAGAACAAGCACTGGGTCTCCTGGCTATGAATGCTTGCTGATTGGAGAGTATTGAACCTGAGTCCTGTGACTCATAGGAGTTCCCCAGCCTCCATCCTCATACAGAGTGATGAACTTGTTGAGTGAAGTCTAAAAGCATGGAAACCAGACTGGGAGCTGCCTCTTGCCTACTTGTTTGCTTCCAGGTAAGATACTTACAGAGTTCTGAGCCATGGATGATTTTCCCCAGCCACCTCCCTCCTGCAGGGAGGGTTTGCAAACACAGACATCAGCAGGCAGAAGTGTCTTAGGCCCACCCTCCAACCCCCGGCCCCCAGTTCTCCCCTGCCACTGTAAACCTCAGAGCTCTCTTTTCTCCCCCTCCACACTTTCTTACACATTTGAGGGATATTCCTAGGAACAAAAAACTAGAGTGTTAGTAGAGCAAGTTGCAACCTGCTCAGCCCACAAGGTGTAAAGCTTTTTGCAGCTAGCAAGAGCTCTTAGTGCAAAAAGAAGGGAAGCTTCGAAACTTGAAAGCAGTCTACAAGCAGACAAAATGACCCTTGAGGAAGTGGTGCTGTGGCTCAGAGTGGTGGTGGACTGCTAGCCTTGAGCAGAAAAAGCTCAAGGACAGCACCCAGGCCCTGAGTTCAAGCCCCAAGACTGTCAAAAATGAAATGACTGACCTTTGACCAACCCCATCCTAAGCTCACAGATAGCAGCAACCTGAACACTAGGAACTATAAAAGACTGAAACAAAATTTTCTTTATATGAGTAGTGGGTGACAGTCCCAAATAGCAAGTCTAGCTACTGGGCTATGCTCCTAGTCCAGTGGTGAGGAATAGCACTTCATTCGTGAAATTATTCTATCCTGCCTAAATATTAAGAACATTTCGAGTAAAAGACTATGGTGATTAACATTTCCAACAATAACTTGGCCTCGGATGCCCAAATACCAAAGTCAAAACATAAGAAATATGACAAACGGATAATGGGTCACTTTGCTATCCCACTCTAACCAAAAAAAATCCAGACTAAAAGAATCAAGCTAGGAACTTCAGATTTAAATGATACAATAGAGAAAATGGACTTACAGGCACCTACAGAGTATTCCATTCAACATTCACAGGATATACATACTTCTTAGCAGCCCATGGAACTTTCTCCTAAAGAGATCATATTTTATGGCATACCACAAATCTTAACAATTACAAGAAATTGGAATAACTTCCTGTATGGTATCATTCCACTATGGAATAAAAACTAGAAATTAACAGCAAGGGAAACTACAGAAAACACTGAAACACATGGAGACTGAACAATACAATGTTCAATGTTCAGTGAGTTGTCAAAGGAATACAGAGAGCTCTTTTTAAAGTCCTAGAATCAAATGAAAATGAAAATACTACTTACTAGAGCTTTGGGGCACAACAAAAGCAGTGCTAAGATGAAAGTCTATAGCTATGAGCACATACATTAAAAAATAAGATCTCAAATAAATAATGATGAACTTCAGGATCCCAGAAAAACATGAACAAGCCAAACCCAAAACCAATAAGAGATCAGGACAGAGACTAATCTTAGTGAAATGGAGACTAAAAGAATGCTATGAAGAATCAATGAAACAAACCAAAAGAAAGAGGGAGGAGACACAGTTCAATAAAATTAGAGATGAGAAAGGGGATATCACAAGAAATGCTAATAAAATTCAAAGATCACTAAGGAATACTCTCAAAACCTGTATTTTAATACCGGAAAATCAAGAAGAGGAAAGAGGAAGTGGAGGTGTGGCTCAGGTGGTAGAATGCCAGCCTTGAGTAAAAAAGCCAAGCAAGAGCATATGAAGCCCTGAGTTCAAGCCCCAGTATCAATACCAAAATAAGGAGGGAAAAGAAAAGAAAATCAAAGCCGGGCGCTGGTGGCTCACGCCTGTAATCCTAGCTACTCAGGAGGCTGAGATCTGAGGATCGCGGTTCAAAGCCAGCCCGGGCAGGACAGACCGTGAGACTCCTACCTCCAATAAACCACCAGAAAACCAGAAGTGGCGCTGTAGCTCAAGTGGTAGAGCGCTGGCCAGCTCCACGACCGACAAAAAAAAAAACAAGAAAAGAAAATCAAGAAGAAATGGGTAAATTGCTAGATACATATGAACTACAAGAATTGAGCCAAGAAATTTTTTAACAGGCCATGGGATTGAAGCAGGAATAAAGAATATGTATATAGAAGTGGCACTGTGGCTCAAGTGGTAGAGAGCTAACCTTGAGCTGAAGAGCTGAGGGAAAGTGCCCAGGCTCAGAGTTCAAGCCCCATGACAGACCAAAAAAAAAAAAAGAATATGTATATACAAGGAGCTCAAAAAATTAAACCCCAAAAGAATATACACTTCAATTAATAAATGGATAAGTGAATTGAACAGATATTCCTCAAGAAATACAAATGGCTGTTAAATACATGGAGAAATATGCTCATGTTCAACATCTTTGGTCATAAAGGAAACATATCAATACTTAGATTCTATTCTATCTCGCTCCAGTCAGAAGCGATACTCACAAGACAATATGTTGGAAATAAACTTTACAACTTGGGAGGGGGTGAGGGAGGAAAAGTAGGAGAAAAATGAGGGAGGGGGTAACAATGTTCGACAAGAAATGCACTCATTATCTTACGTATGTAACTGTAATCCTTCTGTGCAACACCTTGACAATAAAATTAAATTTAAAAAAAGAAAAGAAACAAATATGCCAGTGAGGATACAGGGGGAAGTGACTCTTTCACACTACTGATGGGAAAATAAATTAGTGCAGCCACTATGGAAATCAGAATGGATATTCCTCAAGAAACTAAAAGAAAAACTACCACTGGGTGCCGGTGGCTCATGCCTATAAACCTAGCTACTCAGGAGGCTGAGGTCTTAAGATCGTGGTTCGAAGCCAGCTCGGGCAGGAAAGTCCATGAGATTCTCATCTCCAATAAATTACCAAAAAGCTGAAAGTGGAGTTGTGGCTCAAGTGGTAGAGTGCTATCTTTGAGCAAAAGAGGTTCAGGCACAGTGTCCAGGCCCCAAGTTCAAGCCCCAGGACTGGCAAAAAAACAACAACCCATAATTACCATATGGTCAGTTCTTGGGTATATAGCCAAAAGAGTATAAGTCAGCATATAATCAAGGTATCTATACACCTATGTTTATAGCAGTACTATTTATAACCAAGCTATGGAATCAGCCCTAGGTGCACACGGACTGAAGAACTGATAACAAAAACATGGTATATGCGCACCCTAGACTATTGTTGAGCCACAAAAATAATGAAATACCATCATTTGTGGCAACATGGATGGAAATGGAGATCATTATGGTAATATATATATATATATATATATATGATATACACCAAAAGATAAATGCTTCATGTTCTTGCTTAAATGATGAAGAGTTTAAAAAAGGTCAATTTCATAGAAATAAGGAGAACAATGATTGCTGAAAGTCAGGTAGCAAAATACAGTCACATCAGAGGGATAAATTCTGATGTTCTACAATACAGTCAGGTGAGCATCCATCTAACAACTTATTTTTAAAAGAACTATAATTAAGGAGTTTGAAGGTATCTAGCACAAAAATGATCAATGTTTAAGGAGGCAGAAATGCTAATTTCCTTGATTTGATATTACACACTGTACATATGTCTTGATTACCAGGCCATACCCCATACATATGATATAAAATAATGTCAATAACAAAAAGACAAACACATGTTAGACATTAAATAAACATATCTCTAAGCCAAATTTACTAGCACATAGCCTCTGCTCTATCACATTATTTTGTTTACTAATGCCTGAAATTAACTTATATAGGTATTTCTATCAAATTCTGTATTCTCAATTCTCAGAATGCCTCAATTGCAACAATCACTTAAAAATAATTTTAGGGAAGTTTTCAAACATCCACTAAAACTAGAGGTAATAGTACATAACCCCGTGGATCATGAACTGGCTTCAACAATTATCAACATTGCCTCTTTTTTATTTCATCTGTTTTTTCCTTTGCTTTTTTATTTGAACATTTAAAATGTATCCCAGACAATGTGTTACTTCCAACCACAAACATTACAGTGTTTATTAAGGTTTTTCAAAATTCTCCTTGAGATTTATTCATATTGAATTTTTCATAGTTGCTCTGATATCACAGCTATAACATTAAGTTCTTAGTATGATCTATTACCTATATCACATCAAAAAGCCTCCATTTGTCATTTGGTATCATAATATTTTATAATAAGTAATATTATTCATAATTACTTATAAATATTATACTATATTAACAAAAAATAGTATGATATATAACATTATTGTATTACATTATTTATTTATGATGTTTATAAAAATAAATAATAAAATATTTAATAATAAAATCATAATAAATATTTGTTATAATAATGGAACATAAGTCTCTGACAGTATACTTTCCAAAGCCCCACAATCTTCTGAATTATTTGGAATATTAGGATGACCTAACAGAATAGCCTTGATTTTCAGATTTACAAGGTGGAGAACTGGTTGTGGAAACACCATTCCAGTCATGACGATAAATTGTAAAGATAAAATTCTATAGTAGGTATTTTCGCAAGAAAAATGAAAGCATATTTTTGTTTAAATACTTGCACAAGGATGTTCATAGCAAATTGTCTTATATTAGTTAAGCACTGGAAACAATCCAAATGTCTATTTCAAAATAGTGGTTGTCTATGTTTATGAGGATTGATTGGGAAGGGGTATGGTGGAAATTTATGGGGTAATGATAGTGTTTATAGGGGTTACAGAAGTGTGTTTGGTTATACAAATTAGTTTATTTAAAAAATAAAAGATTGAGTTGTGCATTCAAAATGTGTGTGTGTTTTGAATACAAATTTTATACCCCCCACAAAAACTGAAACATATTTTGGTGGATGTGTACTGACATCTGCCATTTGCTTCTTCTTTTTTTTTTTTTTTTGGTTGGTTGTGGGCTTGAACTCTGGGCCTGGGCGCTGTCCCTCAGCTCTTCAACTCAAGGCTAGTGCTCAACTACTTGAGTCACAGCACCACTTCTGGCTTTTTCTGTTTATGTGGTGCTGAGAAATCGAACCCAGGGCCTCATGCATGCAAGGCAAGCGCTCTACCACTGAGCCACCTTCCCAGCACCCTGCTATTTGCTTTTAAATATATCAGAAAAATAAGATGGCTTGAGGAAAGACGGGTGGAAGGGTAGAATATGAACAGATAGACAATAAAATAATATGCTGAAATGTAAGCAGTAGAATTATCACAGTTAATTATAGTTCTCTTCAACTTTTATGTGTGTGTGAAAAATTTTAATAAAATGTTGAGGAAAAAAATTCCATGGTAGTTTTCAGAAAACAAGACAAAAAGAGGGCCTGCCTGACAAGATAGAAGGCTTAAATATTTCTAAGATCTTTACTGAGTTGCTTTCCCTAGATGACTTCCAGTGTCTGGTGCTGGTGGCTCACACCTGTGATTCTAGCTACTCAGGAGGCTGAGATATGAGGATCGCAGTTCAAAGCCAGCCCAGGCAGGAAAGTCTGTGAGGCTCTTATCTCTAATTAACCACCAGAAAAACCAGAAGTGGCACTGTGGCTCAAGTGGTAGAGCACTAGCTTTGAGCTGAAGAGCTCAGGGACAGTGCCCAAGCCCAGAGTTCAAGCCCCACAACAGACAAACATATATATGAGACTTCCAAGAAACTGACCTCCACTTCCAGTTCTTGTGTACACTGGGAGCTTCTTGGCCATATCAATAAGCATCTGCTTCTGGACCTCGGGTCTCTCTTCATTTTCATAGCGCTCCTTGTCTGTATAGGACAAGTGGAACTGGAAGCAGAAGTGATAAGGCAACACTTCATTTTTCAGGATTCACAGAAATGATTGAAAACAACTACCTAAATCAGATCTTTGAACAACTAACTTCCAGTTTAACAAAATAAATACCAGGAAGCTAGAATATGTGTGGCCAGTGGAGGGGTGAAGTTAAGGGAAGGAAGGCCAGACACAAAGGGAGGGAAAGGGTGAGAGAATATGATGGTAATACTCAATGTACACATGCGAAAATGGAACCGGGTAACTTGAGAGGATGGGTGTGGTTGGGAGAGATAGGGAAGAATGATGAAGTGATGACATTGATCGTGATGCATTGTACTTACAAACTGACATGCTGAATGGAAACTCCTTTGTACAACTACTTAAAGATAATTTTTTCAAATGTATTTATTGTTATGGTAAAGGCGATGTACAGAGGGGTAACAGTTACATAAGTCAGGCAATGAGTACATTTCTTTTTGAACAATGTCACCCCTTCCCTCTCTCTCTCCCAGTTTTTCCCTCCTGTCTCCACCCACAAGTTGTATAGCTCATTTATATCACTGCTGCATTTGTTCACCCTTTGTGGTCCCCCTTACCTTCCCCAAACAGATAAACTTATGTAGAAGACAAAAAGTACAAAAATCAAAAACAGTGACAAAGGAGAGAAAAAAGCCAGAAAATTACAACAAAAACAAAGGACAAAATAACAAAAAAAAAATCCCTCTTGCCTCCATTTCTTGGAGTTCATTTTGATAAATATCACTTTTTATGTTTTATTGTAAAAAATAGTATTGATAAATATCCTTTTATATGATCACACACTCATAACTATTGAGCCCTTATGATCCTTGTTTGCTAATCTTGTCAAAGGCAGGCCAATGATTTACCAATGTAATACAAATTTGAAAACTTCCTTTAATGTATGCCAAAGAGTGACAAAGGTGAAAAAGAGTCTGTGGTCAAAATTCTTATCTTTAAATGTCATCCTTACTACTTAAGAGTTAGGGGAAAAAAACACTGAAAAATTAGACACTTTTTATGCTTCATTTGTGAAGCAAAGAAAATAATGACTACCTCACAACATTGGTGTCAATGTGCTAGATAATAGCAGGTAATTTAAACTTGTATTTTGTACTCCCATTTTGGAGAGGGAGGTTATTTAAAAATAGTTGATACTGCCAATCTTTCTAATTTCTCTAGTTAACATGCACTAGGATCTTATGGTGATGCTAGTTAGAATTTTCGTGATTTCTAATAACATTGAACACCTTGTCATGCCATTACTGACCATTTGGATATTCTCTTGTAAAATGTCTACAAGCCTTTTGTTAAAAAGGTAAAGAAGCCAGGTCTTGGGGGCTCATGCCTGTAATCCTAGCTACTGACTCAGAAGGCTGAGATCTGAGGATTGTGGTTCCAAGTCAGACTTGCTAGGAAAGACTGTGAGACTCTTATCTCCAACTAACCATCAAAAAGCTGGAGGTGGGGCTGTGGCTCAAGTGGCAGAGTGCTAACCTTGAGCAAAAAAGCTAATGTTGAGGACAATGTTCAGATACTGAATTCAAGCCACTGTATTGGCACACACACACACAAAAAACAGTAACTAAATATAAGTTAATATAAAAAACTTCAGTTATTTTTTTCTTAGAAGAACAATTATACTGAGTAGCACAAGACCATATTTTTAAATTTAATTTTTAATTGCGATAATTAAATGTAGCACCATGTGGTAGCACTTTAACTTTTGAGATGTCTTTGTGAATGTAATTTCCTTATGGCACACTGTACCTATTTTTTGAAGGGTGCAGGCAGAGCTGTTTCTACTTGTATGTGATGAATATCTTATGATGAATGAATATCATTCAACAAGTTGTCTTTGGTGTGAAATACAACCCTATCATAGATGCACTATTTCTGGCAGTAACCAAGCCTTATTGAGCAATAGAACATAGTGAGCCAATAAAATGTATTTTGGCTGAAACTATTGGCAATAGATTAGAATCTTCTTTTTGCTAGAGAAATTCACATTGCGGCTATTTTAAATAGACCTAAAGTACTTGCCCATACATATTACAAAGTAAAAGTGATAAAAAAAAAAAAAGCATAGTATCAAGTAGATATTTGCAGTACTTGGCTAAGTCCTGTCATTATTTCCCTCAGTTTAGGCCTGTAAAATTCCCGATCACTCAGCCACTCATTCTACTGGCCAAGAAGCTTCATAAATAATATGAAGGAAATCAGTATTTTTAATAAGCTAAAATTCACGTCACAAAGCGCATTCCATTTTAAGGGGTACAGTCCATAGTGTACAATACAGTGAGTGACATGTGGTACAAATGTCACCACTATCTAGTTCTAGAACATTTCCTCACCCCAAGAGGAAATGCTACTCATTAAGCAATCTCCATTGCTCCTTATGCTCAGCCACTGCCAACCAGTAATCTACATTTTAACTATGGATTTGCCTTTCTAAATATTTCATGACAGTGTAATCAAAATGGTGTGGCATTTGGTGTTTGATGTTTTTCAGTTAGCATAATGTTTTCAAGGTTCATCCATTGTGTAACACATGTGAATACTGTATTCCTTTTCATGGCCAAATAATATTTCACTGTATGTACAGACTTCCATTTCTTCCTCCATATTTCCCTATTGATGGACATGGGTTGCTTTTATCTTTCAGGTATAATGATTAATGCTGATGTGAACAATTGTGCATAACTACTTGAGTACATGATTTCAATTATTTTGAGGAAATCACCTGGCAACTCTACATTTAAGTTTATGAGAAATTACACAGCTTTTTCCTCACCAGCTGTAACATTTAATTAATACACCTAGGATCAACTTAGGAGGATTCTGATTTCATTACATCCTCACCAACACTCGTTAGTATTCATTTGTTCTTTCATTCATTCATTCAATTTTGGCCTTCCTAGTGGTTGTGAACTTGTATCTTATCACAGTCTTAATACACATCTCTTTAAATGACTAATAGGCAACTTTTCATGTACTATTAGACATTTGTATATATTATTTGGAGGAGAAATGTCTATTCAAGTCTTTGCCCTGTTTTTAAATTGGTTTCTTTTTGTTGAGTTGTAAGAAGTCTTTCTACATTTGAACACTTGACATATCAAATGTATTTATGGCAAATATTTTCTCCTGTTCTTTCAATGGTCTTTTCATTTTGATAGTGGTTTTTGTTTTGGCAAGTTTTTTGTTTTTGTTTTTTGCCAGTACCCAGGACCTTATACTTACTCAGCTTGCTTGCTTATTTGGCATTCTACCACCAGAGCTATGCCTCCTGGCTGGCTTTTGGCTGGTTATTCTGAAGGTAGAATCTTGAAGACTTTTCTTCCTGGACTGGCTTCAAACCTTAATCCTCCAAGTCTCAGACTCCTAAGTAGCTACGATTCCAGGCTTGAGCTGGTAACAGCCAGCAGTTGATAGTGTTTTTGATGTTTAAAAGAAATAAATTTTTGTAATGTCAGATTAATTTAGTGTCTTCTTATCACCTTTACCTATCCTGGGCCAGGCATGATAGTGACTATGGTCACAGATACTTGGGAAGACTGAGGTAGGAAAATCAGTTGAGTCCCAGTTTGAAGCCAGCCTGGATAAGATAGTAAGACCTCAAGAAAAAAAGATAACCTTCACTTTCTTTTGTAATGGAAGGTTATTTGTTCCTCTTTTTGTCCTCTTCTGGCTTTATTGGTGTCCCTCATTTTCTCTGTTCTTAGACTTTGTGAAGTAAGCAATAGTCTTACCTTTTGGTTGGGCTGCTGTGGGAGCGTAAAGATAGACTTCCAGTAGGTCCAGGCAAAAAATACGAAGATGGCATGGTAGAGTATGAGGTAGATAACTGAAATTTAAAAAAAAAATCAGTGTTTATGCTTTTCATCCATTTTTAAGAAACCAAAAAATTGTCATATTCAGTGATGAATGTGTATGTTATTTCCCTATTGCCAAGGATTTTCCAGTATTATAAAAAATGATCATTGCTACTGGCTTCCTATGCAGTGACAGAAATAAATAATGTCAAATTCTTTTTTTTTTTTTTTGCCAGTTCTGGGACTTGAACTCTGGGCCTAGGTGTTATCCCTGGGCTTCTTTTGCTCAAAGCTAGCCACTCTACCACTTGAGCCACAGCACTACTTTTGGCTTTTTCAGAGTAGTTTACTGGAGATAAGAATCTCTAGGATTTTCCTGCCTGGGCTGGCTTTGAACTGAAATCCTCAGATCTCAGCTTCCTGAGTAGCAAGGATTACAGGCGTGAGCCACCAGTGCCCAGTGAATCATGTCAAATTCTGAACCAGAGACTTTCTTAAAGTTGTATCCTCTAAAATAAGTTGCCATGAGAGTCTTTGAGTAAATGGAGGACATGTCCTTTGTAATAATATAGGAGAAGCTAATTTAACTAATTGTAATTATCTTTGCCACTGCAGGTGCTGAAATGTAATGATAATATAATCTGCACAGCACTTTAGAGATTTCAACATACTTTCATATATGTTATCTCATTTTTATTTTCTAAATAACATTGTGATATAGATAAAAGTATGGGGTCATTAGTTGTCTACCAGTGGTGATTGATTTATCTAAGTCATAGTCAATAATGTCACCAGTTTTTCAATACCGTACTTCTGACTCGAAATTTGAGGTTCTTTTCAATAAGCTACAGAATACACAATCCAAAAGTGTGAGTTAGCCGGGCATCAGTGGCTCATTCCTGTAATTCTAGCTACTCAAGAGACAGAAATCTGAGAATCGCAATTCAAAGCCAGCCAGGGCAGGAAAGTCTGGGAGACTCAGCTCCAATAAACTACCAAAAAAACCAGAAGTGGCACTGTGTCTCAAAATGGAAGAGCGCTAGCTTTGCACAAAAGAACTCAGGGACAGTGCCAAGGCCTTGAGTTCAAGCCCCATGACCAACAAGAAAAAAGTACAAGTTATACCTGTGAACCAGATATACAAGTCATCCATTGCTTTTCTTTTCATAAACTTAAGTCTCTTGGACAGCTCATCTGATTTTAAGAGTTTTGGTATCCTATGCAGCTAGGGCTTGGGGGAGCTGGTTTGTATGCAGCTGGTGTCTTTACTGCTGAGGGTTGTGGGAACAGAGTTTAAGTGACCAGGGTCTGTGGGTCCCATGTCTACGGGGATGGGTTCTGTGAGGCCAAGTCTACATGGCTGGAGCTCCTGGGATGACATAGACATGTCTGAAATCTCTAGGGCCCTCATCTAGACAATGCCCAGGATCAGTGGGGCTGAGAATACCAAAATAATGAGAGTGAGTCCCTCAATGGCATGTTCTTATACTTCATTAGAAAGACTCAAGCAAATGATGTGACTCAAGAGCAAATTAATAGAGCTGAATCTCTTGTACATTTATGGATCAAGTGCGGGAAAGAAAAAAACCTTCCCAAAGCTCCAAGTTCCACCATTTAAGAGTTTCATATGTTCTTGATTTTTTTTATTGTGAAAATACTATACAGAGGGCTTACAATTACATGGGTAAGGTAATGAGTCTTATAAAGCATTGTTGCCTCCTCCTTTGTTTCCCTTTCCCATCCCTTGTACATCTCATTGTTGCAATGGGTCCACCTGTATCCCCATTTAAACAATTTGTTTTTTCCCTTCCCCTCCACAAATTATACCAACATCAAATACAGTGAAAACAGGGGTTATACCATGGGGGAGGGACATACAAAGCAACAAAAAAAATAATCTTATAAATATGTTAGAAACAATCGCAAGAAAGAAAAAAAATATTTGAATCATTATCTTGGGGTTCATTTCGCCTGTTCTTGATTTTTGTAATTATAAAGTGTCAAATTCAAACACTATAAAATAAAAGCAAAAAAAAACCCAAACAAGTGTTCACCCCATTCACAACTAAAGCAAAACACTCCCTCGTGTTAGGTGTGTATCATTCCAGATCTTCTCATTTTTATGTGCCTATATAAATATACTCACACTATAAACATGGAATTTCTTTGGAGCTTACTTTAAATTGGAGATTATTTCACTTAATATGACTTGGGGAACAGTGACCTTTCTCACTCTCTTTTTAAAAGGTTGCAAGGGATTCTATTTCCTGAGTGTACTCTAATTTATTAAAACAGCCTGTCTTGGGTGAAAGTTTATTTTCCCTTGTTCTTGCTAACATAAATAATGCTTCAATAAATAATTTGTGCATATGTTATTAGCACACATATAAAGAGCATCTATAAGATCAATTTCCTGAAGAAGACTTTCCAGGCCAAAGGGTATGCCTTTTGGTAGATATTGACAAACTGCCACTAAGAAAAGTTGTATTTGATTTGCATTCTTTTTAAATTAAATGCTTTTTATTATCTTTATGTAGCTTTACAAAGGAGCTGCCATTCAACAAAGCAGCTTATAAACACTGCATCTTGATCAATTTTAACCTTTTCAACATTCTCATCTTACCGTTCCCAATCCACTCCTTCCCTCACTTTTCTTAATGTTGTATTAATATGTATTGAAATTGTGTTTGCCATGTAACAAAGCAGTGTATGTACTGGGATTTGAACTCAGGGTCTTGAGTTTGCTGGGCAGGCACTCTCTCACTTGAGCCACACCTCCAGCCACTTTGATTTACATTATTATCAATGAGAATGCTCTCCTTCCACAGTACAGATGACTTTATGAATATGATCAGATCTTTTTTTATTTTAGGCAAGTCCTTTATATTGTTTCTTTATGTGTAATCTTGTTATGGTTTTGTTTCTTTGACTTGATAAGGATTGAATAGGGAAAATTCCATAATTATCTTTTTTAATATTAATTTTTTATTGTGAAAATACTGTACAGAGGGGTTACAATTACATGAGCAAGGTAATGAGTACATTTCTTATCATTTCTTATCAAGCATTGTTGCCTCCTTCTTTGTTTCCCCTTACCATCCCTGCCCTCCCATCTCCTCCCCCCCTGCCAAAGTTGTAAAGTTCATTTTTCGACATAACGTCTTGCACATCTCATTCTTGCAATGGGTCCAACTTGTATACCCATTTAAACAATTTGTTTTTTCCCTTCCCCTCCACAAATTATACCAACCTCAAATACAGTGAAAACAGGGGTTATACCGTTGGGGAGGGACATACAAAGCAACAAAGAAATCATCTTATAAATATGTTAGAAACAATAGCAAGAAAAAAAACAATCTGAGTCCTTATCTTGGGGTTCATTTTGCCTAACATCAACTTGTCTGACCGTTTCTGCTTGTCTCAGATATATACTAGTTATTGCAAATAAGGGAAACCATGGGACCTATGTTTCTTTGGGCCAGGCTTACTTCACAATATAATTTTTTCCAATTCTCCATTATTATCTAAGTAATCTTACGCTCCTTCAGTATGAAATGGGAATTTGGGACCTTTGTTTTCAAAATGATCAGGAAAAGCAAATTGTATTTTTTACCTTCTCATTATGCATTTCCAGGGTAATGAGGGTAACCAATTTGGATCCCCTGAATCACTGAGAACTAAGTTTTTACACATTTGTGTAAAGTTCTTACACTTTTTTTTTGCCAGTCCTAGGACTTGAACTCAGGGCCTGGGCCCTGTCCCTCCATTTTTTCACTCAAGGCTAATGCTCTACTACTTGGGGCACAACTCCACATCTCACAGATTTTACTGCCCAGGTTCATTTTGAACCCCAATGCTCAGATCTCAGCCTCCAGAGTAACTAGGATTACAGGCATGAGCCACCAGTGCTTGGCTCTACTTGACAGTGTTTTAAGGGCATTAACCACATTTTTTATTCCAATAATAGATGGAATATCAGTGGCTTTTGCTTGATCCAGTTTAACTATACAACAAGAAACAGCTGTGTCTCATTCTTGTACTCCAAGCATTTGTATAAACTTTGGATTTTTTTTAACAGATGAGTGGAAAGTGAGGGATCTTGAGGCTAAATGACAAATCACGGGCATTCAGCAGATTGCTATAAGAGGGACTAGACTGCAGATTACATAAAAATCTTAGAGTTGGGAAGGGGTATAGAGATAATACACTTCTTATTTTACAGAGAGGGAACGAAAGCACAGAAAGGTCAAGAGATTTGATCACAGCTACCCAGTAAGTTATAGAAACAGTAGAGCCAGAACTCAGGCTTCTTCATTACCTGTCCAGATCACCCTTCCTTAGAGCAGTAACTGTCTGATTTCAGCTTGCCTCACCATCACCCAGAAAGGTTATTAGAATGCATATTGCCAATCCTTTTACCAAAGATTCTAAATTAGTCATCGGAAATGGAGCCCAAGAATCTAGCTTATACTCCTCCCAGGTCTCTCTGAAGTAGTACCATGAGAAATGGGGCCTTAGAGGCAGGCAATTTGCCCAATCTGCCATCACAAGAAGAAAGCTCTTCTTCAACATTATGAGTAGGCAATTAGTTAATCTCTGCCAATACCCTGAATCGACTATTATTTATAAGCAAGTCTGGTTATTTATATTCCCCCCCCCTTTTCCTCCTCCTGCTTCCCTAAGCTATGGTCTCAAATACAGGCGACTCCATTCTTTCTCTGCTTTAAACTATGAAACTATGCAACATATTTCTTTATAATTATCTTACATACATAGAATTATTATCTTTATAAATTGCAAGGAGGGAAACATTTTATTTGCACTGCTTTATTGTTATATTTTTAATATAATTTTGTTATTATTAAGGTGTTGTACAGAGGGCTTACCCATTTCATAAGTTAGGGAATGAGTACACTTCTTTTTGGACAATGCCATGCCTTCCTTTGCTTCCCCCCCCAGTTTCCCCTCCCATTCCTGCCCACAAGTTACACAGTTCATTTTCCACATAGTATATATTGAATACCATGAGTGC